ATGTATGCATATATATATGAAAACCTCTATGTTTTTTAGTTTGGAAGGCTTTTATTTGGTTCTGTGAATAGTGAGTTTGTTTCCTGTGCATTTCTAACAAGTCATCATTTATTCTATTTATCTGGAATTCCTAGGCCACATTTGTTAAGGCTGCAGGAATTGAAGAACACCATCCATGTAGAATTTGGTTGGTTTTGCTTGATCTGGAGCACGATGAGAGCTGTAAGTTTCCAGGCACATAATTACATAAAAGACTTTTTAAATAAGTTCTGAGCATTAACAGTACACTATTTAATATTTGAAAATGTAGATGAGAGTAAAAATGTTTAAATGGTCATTATTTACAAGGTAATTCCATGCAGTCAATAATTTAGTTGGTTTCAGATCTTTTCCTTTAATGAGGAAAAACTATGATATGGGTACAAAGTTTTAATGTTCAGGAAACATTAGCCTTGTCCTTAAGGAAATTATATTGATCGGGATTGCTCTCAAACTACTTTAGTTGTGTTTACCATTATTAACATTAAGTGATATTCACTTGGATTAAGTAGTAATAATTTTCTCAAAAAATGTGAGACTGTCTAGTGATTTTTGATCACAAGCCATATGTCACTGAGGGGCCTGCATGTGTGTTCTTGAAAACAAAATATGCACAAGAGTTGCACTGGTTTGAAGATTTTGGTGGTGAAAGTTACCTAATCCGTTGTCAATTCTGTATCTAGAAACAAATCTTGGTACTGTGTGATAATGTTTTTTTAAATAGCATTAAAAAAAGTATTCTGTGCTTGTTCTTACTTTATCCTTGTTTTGTTGTATAATATTTAAGTGAAAGATTATTTATCCTCATATTTAAATCCCAAAACTGATATTTGCATTTACCATTTTTTAGTGATGGACAGAAAAGTTAGTTGTCTTACTTTGGTAAGTGTAGCATAGGGCCTATCACTTTTTTTTATGCTTTAGGACACAGTTCTGTTTATATTTATATAAATATAACCCAAAGGGAGCTAAACGTTACCTCAGATTTGGCAATGCTTTCTGCATCATTTTAACATATCTAATAAGTCTAGAAAGCTTAATATATCTCTCTTTAACTTCAGGATAGCAAATAGACGTATGCAGTGAGTAACCAACCTACTTAAATACAGTGGTTTCAAGTGCTGCAGGCAGTAGCTCCTAGATGCTAAACTGTAGTGTTTAAACTTGTAATATGTTAGCGAGAACGCTAGGATTTTCTGTAACATAAATACCCTATTAACTAATGCTTGTGTTAAATTACAAGGCTTTAACTCTTGGGTCTGAAGAAGGAACCAACCCTGCTAAATTTTGAACATTGACCCCAGTTGAAGCCTCATCTTCATTCTCATGAAGAGGTGACAATCAAAATGAAGTACTTTCATAAGACACAAGGTGAGAAATTGAAACTATCCAACCCTTCTAGGTCCAAGGACTGTCGTGGAAGAGGCAGGCAAGTGAGATTGTAAGGGCCAATTTTCAGTCATAAGATTAGTTCAGAGTTTTTCTGTAAGTTAAATCTTAATATCAAAAGCACACTAATGCAAGGCCAGTAATCCAGGTCCCTGTGTTGGAATAACAGGGTTTTCTTGAGCCTTGAGTTGTTCTTTAATAGAAAATTGGAAATGCTTATTAAAAGTTTGTGGAAATCTTACCTTATGGTAAAACTGATTAAAATTAGATAGATTTATTTCTAAGGTGTTATTAGCCTTAGCTTTAATAATACACTATACAGAGGTAAACTTTGGTGTTCTATTTCGAATAAGACATTTGTGTAATATTAATGAGATAAAAGATTTTTGTTTACTCCCTGAGGAGACTGCAGGGATAAAATGGAGTTGGGGGTAGACAGATTTAGTCGGGCTCATGCTGTCTTTGTTAGGTCTTATTATTTGGGAAACTGAGTCTCCTTTCTATCAAATGGTAAACACTTTTGTTTTATAACTTTTGCTTAATGCACGATTATCTCATAGTGATGTATGATCCCATTTTGTGATATCAAGTGTCTTAAAACATTGATATTTGGCAAGTTTTCCAAGAGAAAAATTTCAAGTTATAATTCAATCTTTTTGACCTCAAACTAACCTTTTTGGAGATTAGGCTTCCTGAAGTCAAAGAGAGACATATTAAGCTTTCTAGACTTATTAGATATGTTAAAATGATGCAGAAAGGATTGCCAAATCTGAGGTAGCGTTTAGCTTCCTTTGGGTTATATTTATATAAATGTGGTGTTAATATGTGTTCCAGGATTGTATGAGATTCCTAAAATTCTGATGTCTTCATACATGTTGTCAGTAATAGATATGATTATTGTTGTATGCCACAGAAATAACCAAATTTCCTGGTCAATTATGTCTTTAACTATGGTTATCTTAATATGTTTGTCATCCACATTTTTTTTTGCTTTGATCCTTCTCAAGAAGTGACTTATAATCAGCTAAAGGCCAGAACTTGCTTCTATCGGGGAGTTCATGAAAATGCCTCTTGAATGCAGGTTTCTGGTAAGTGGAAATGTTGCTATTGGATTAGAAAGAAAACTTTCAGGGCAGTAATTGAAAGGCTGATATTTTCAAAAGATTGCTAACCCAATATGAAACTATGAAGCAGAGCAAGAGTTGATTGCATGGACTGAACTAATGGAGGACTGAAATTATTTTCCTGTTTCTTTGTTTTTGTTGTTTGAGATATTGCTGATTCTTTCTGTTTAGAGTTTCTGAATCTGGAATTTTTTTTTTTTCCTTTGGAGCTATTTATAGCCTTTAAGTATACTGTAAGTATATTGAGTATACTTTCATAAACAGAATTTGAGGCATATTTCTATCTCTGCCTAATTTCCCCAGAATTTGTAAACTATTGTTAATATCCTTAAATCATGGAAATGTATTTTGTTTGCATACAGTTGAAAACAATGTGTTTTCTCTTATAATGGGACACAGTTGGAACAACTGGTTATTTTCTCAGGGCTTTGACTGAAATGGCCTTGTGAGAGGTTCCAGCAAAGCCAATTTAGGAGCGCCTATGTGGACAATGATTCTTGCTGCACTTTGTGTGGGTAATCAGGCCAACTACAAGGGACTGAAGCTTATTTTGCAGGTAGGTTGGTCCTGCTGTCTTTGGTGAAAGTGGGGGATGGGAGAGAGAAATATTAAAAAAAAAAAAAAAACTCCATATGAGATTAACTCTATATTAGATTCCTGTATTTAATTAATTACCTAATTATAAAACACTTTTTGTATGTGAAACACAAATCCATTTTCAGATATTTACAAATATTTTCTTGGAGTCTGAGATTTGCATTTCCATTCTCTCAATGGTAGTTTAAAAGAGCAGAAGCTATTAATTTTTGTGAAATCTGGTTCATTAATTTAAAAAATATGTCTGGTATTTGATCTTCTACATAGCATTTCCTAAAAGTTTTATAATTTTAGGTCATGCATTTAGGCTTCTGATGTATCTTAATTTCATTTTTATAGGATGTAAGGTATAAAGTATATATTTTTTAATATGGTTACCTAATTGTTTCAAAACTATTTGTTCTATAACGAGTTGCCATAGTAGCTTGCTGAAAATCACATATGACAATTGCTTATCTCTTTATTTATGTGTGCCCGCAATAATTTCTCTCTGTATTTTTACATTTTTATGGAGGTTTTATATATATATGTGTGTGTATATATATGTATACATATATATACACATAATTGTATTTCTAAATATTTTATATTTTCAGCTGTCTTAAATGGTATTTCTGTTTTATTTATAGTAGTATGCCAATAGTATAAAAGAAATACAAGTGTTTGTGTAGTGAACTTGTATCCTGTGAACTTCTGAAACTCATGTCTTATTAGTTCTAGTGACTTTTAGTAGATAACATAAGATTTTCTACATAGAAACATCATGCTATCTATAAAGTTTGTCTCTTTTCAATACCAGAGATTTTTATTGCCTTTCACTTGCCTTAATGCATTTTTTAAAACTGTCAGTAGAATTTTGAATAGATGTGACAACCTTGCATTTTTTCCTGACATTAGAGATAAACATTTAGTCATTAATCATTCAGTGTGATGAAAGCTGTCAGTTTTGATAAATGTCTCTTATCCAGTTGAGGAAGTTCCCCTCTTTTTTTAGTCTTCTGAAATGTTATCAGTGATTGATAATGGATTGTGTCAAATGCTTTTTATGCATTTATTAAGAAGATCATATATTTTTATTTTGCTTGATAATATGTTCACATACACTGGCTGGATTTCAAATGCATAAATTGCCTCTGTAGTTATAAGATAAACACTACCTGGTTATGATACATCATCATGTTATGCAGTCATTGGATCAATTTGCATACCTTTCGTTAATAATTTTTACAACTTAGTTTATGAAGAAATTTTGATATTTTATTTCATTTTTATATAATTTCCTTCTCTGGTTTTGTTATCATTGTAGAGTTGGCAACAGAGAATGAGTCTGACTCTTTCAGAGACAGAATTGAAAGATAAATAACAAGCAGATGGCAACAACCCACTGCAGTAAACTAAGGAGTATTACCTAGATCAATCAATATTGACAGAAAAATAGGTAATTGAAGGACAGAATTATAAGGTGTTGATTTATAGGTGAAAGATTCAAGAATTGTATTCCACCAAAATTTTCCTTTTTTATCAAATTTCTACATAATTTCACTGGTGACATGAAGAACATCTTTGTCCCTACAAATTCAAGAATCTCATTTCATTATTTTACTTCGGCCCACAATCTTGTCTTACTCTCAATAAGAAAAAAACTATTGAAAGTCAATATGGAAATTAGGTAAAGGAACCACCGAGCATAAGTTTCAGAGGCCCTAATCATGGCTGAAGTCAGTTCCGAGTGGCCCTTTACCCAGTGTCAATTTTGGATTCCCTGAGTGACATACAAGCTGAAGGATAGCCTGAAATACTTTATGAACTTTAGAATACATTTCAGTCACTCCTTACAAACATTCTCACAACTCAGTCCCGAATTTGTTTTGTCCTAACTCCATAAATGACTGGATTTAAACAAGGAGGAACTACCACATACAGATTAGCCACGAGGATGTGAATGTACTGAGGAACATTTCTACCAAACCGGCGAGTCGTAAAGGAGAAAAATGCTGGTGTATAAAAGGCTAAGATGACACAGACGTGTGAACCACATGTGCTAAGTGCTGTGAGCCTGGCATCCCTGGAAGGAAGGCAGAAAACAACTTTTAGGATCTGAACATATGAGAGGGCAATGAGGATTAAGTCAAAGATCAGGGTAGCAATGGTAAATAAACCATAGATCATATTGACCCTTATGCTGGCACAGGCAGGACGAGCGATTCCCATATGTTCACAGTTCGTATGAGGGATAACGTAGTGTCCACAAAAGGGCAATCGTTCAAGAAAAGGACAGAAGGGAATAGCAAGAAGCACTGGCTTTCCCACTACAAAAGAGGCCATGATGGCTACCACTTTGTTGGTGAGGATAGTGGTATATCTCAGTGGGTAACAGATGGCAACAAAGCGGTCAATTGCCATGGCCAGGAGTACACCAGATTCCATACCAGTGTGGGTGTGAATAAAGAACATTTGGATGAGGCAGCCTTCAAAGCTTATTTCCCTAAGGTTGAGCCAGAAGATGGCAAGCATCTTGGGGATGATGGAAGTTAAAAGACCCAGGTCAAAAAAAGAGAGAAGAGCAAGAAAGTAGAACATGGATTGATGAAGACTCTGTTCAGTCTTGATCACACACAGGATTGTGAAATTCCCCACAAGTGTGATCAGATAAACAACAAAGAAAGGGAAGGCAATCCAAATATGGAAAGCTTCCAGACCTGGGACACCCAGGAGAAGGAAGGCAGTGAGATGAGAGGCAGTGCCGTTCACAAAGGACATCCTGCTGACGACTCTCAGAAGATACTTTACTGTCTTCTTCAGTATTTCTGGGGAGACATAAGGGAATAGATAGTGGTTAAATATGGCTATTTATAATTATAATTTATAATACTATTTATATACTATTTATATACTATAAATTATAATTTATAATACTATTTATAACAACATGCTAATTAAACTCTTGAAAACATAATAGAAGGGAATTAGGGTGAAATGCAACTATCAGCGACGTTGAAATTACTGACTATCCCATTTAGTATTTCATGGAGTTTGTGGAAGTCAGAAGCAGTTTTCTTCTAGTGGTCATATGATGTAGTGATTCGTGGTCATCCGTAGCTTATTTTTCTGTAAAATGCTTATTTATTTAAATTAGTTTCAATCAAAGACATGTACAGTAACAAGAACTTTTATGATATCTCTAAATCACCTTAGGTACTGAGTTGAGCAGATATTTAACACTCCCCCAAATGTTAAAAAAAAAAAAAATGAAAGATTGCAATGAGAAGAAATTATAATGGTCAAGAAGATATCCACTCAAAAGGCCCATCCGCCTTTCATAGTCTCTGCTCAGTCGGTATGACATCTCTCTGTAGTTTCTTTACTAAGACTGTGTTTATACATAGTTTTTAATGAGATTATTTTGATTTGGTTGATGACTTGATTATCAGTATTTTTCTACTTTTACAGTTGAACAGTTGTGATCAATGCATAAACAAATAATGCAAAAATATGTGATCCCTTTTAATACAGGTAGAAGTACTTAATTTATGTTTAGAGGTAGAAGTATTTAATACAGGTAGGAGTATTTAATTTAGCATCCATGTGTGATATTTAGAGGAAAAAAAACCTTAAATAAACTAGGAAAAAATAAGTTTTTCAATTTGATGAAAATAATCTGAAAAACCTATAGTTGATATAATACTGAATGGTGAAATACAAAGTTTTTCATAGAATTGGAAATTAGACAAGAATATCAACTAGCATCAATTATATTTAATAGTTTACTGGAGATTCTAACAAGGTCAATGTGTTAAGAAAAAAAAGATACCAAGATTGGAATGGAAGGTAAACTTTGCTATTCATTATTAACATGAATTTTTAGGTAATAATGAAATCATTTAGAACCAAGCATTTAGCTGATCAATTATGCAAATATAAGAATCAATTCTTTTTATTTACTATCAGCAAACAATTATAATTTTGAATTAAAGTTTTTCAAAACTTCACAAAATCACTTACAACAGTATCAAAACATGAAATACTTAGCAATAAGCCCTAATATTATAAAACAGGACAGAGGAACTGAAAAGATCCCAAAATTACATATTCATGGTTTGGAAGACTGAAATATGTGTCAATTTTCTAAAAATTGGTCAATAAATCTAAAACAAGTTCAATATATAACAATAAATTTAGGCTAATTCTAAAATAATTATGGGAATATGCTAAATTCCCCATAAAAAGTGAAACAAAAAGGGGGTCTTGTATTTAAAGACTTTAAACTTATTAAAAAACTAGAGTAATCAAGGTTATGTGGTATTTTCATAATGATGGAAAAATAAATAGAATAGTATAGAAACAGCAGAAATGGAAACACTTTATATGTTCAACTTAATATTTATAAAGAAACCTATATAGTATTTCAGTGAAGATAGATTCAATTCCAGCAATGGTACTAGTGAAACTGAATATACTTCCACTAAAAAAAAAAAAAAAAAAAAAAAAAAAAAAAAAAAAAAACCTTCATTCCAACATCACAATACGTGCAAAATAGTAATTACATTTTTGAGTTATATCTACATTTTTAAATACTTCAAATTAAAATTTTTTGTTCTGTTTTTTGAGACAGCTCTGTTGCCCAGGCTGGAGTCCAGTGGCACAATCACACATGACTTCAGCCTAACGCCTCCAAGCTCAAGTGATTCTCCCACCTCCCTTTCCCCAATAGCTGGGATTACAGGGTCCTGCCACCACACCTGGCTAATTTTTGTACTTTTTTGTAGAGATGAGATTTTGCCATGTTGCCCAGGCTGGTCCAGAATTCCTGAATTCAGCAATCCACATGCCTTGGCCTCCCAAATTGCTCAGATTACAGGTGTAAGCCACTGTGCACAGTCCAAATTCCAGCATTTAAAGAGTAAACAAAGGAGAGTATCTATACAACACAGTGGAAAGTAATGGATTCCTAGTCGGGATATAAAAACAAGAACCATAAAAATTCTTGTTATATGTTACCAGTTTGAAAGATGTGTAATTAATAAAGTGAATATACAATTCACAGACTGGGAGGAAATATTCATCATCTCTATTTTTGAAAAACAATTTTTCCCAAGAATATGTAAGTATGCTTACAACTAAAATGTAAAAAAAAGAACAATCTATGCAAAAAGAAGAAAAGAAACCTAAAATAATACTTGGTAAAGAAAAATACACAAATGACATTAAAATTATCAAAATCATGGTGTTTCATTAATTGTGCCTAACATGTATAATGACATAATATCACACATTCGAAAGACTTGCTGAAATTAAAAAGCATAACCACATCAAATCCAAATTTTGACAAGGATGTAGAACGATGGATTCTGCTATATTGAATCCATTGAAAAGATCAAAACATTGGAAATAAATCATCATTTTTTATAAATGTGTTAATGCACATACCAATCATTACATGTAATAATTGAACTCCACAAAGCTTATTCCTAAATGAAATGAAAGCATATGTTCACATGAGACATGTACAAGAATATTCATAGCAACTTTATCCATAATTGTCCCAAAGTGGAAATAACACAAAGATCCATCAATAAATGAATAGAAAAATTAATCTTAGAATGTTTACATAATGAAATGTTATTTGCTGATTCAGGCAAATTGATTACTTATACATGCAACAGCATAGATATTATGCTGAGCCAATAATTGCTTAGTTACCAAAACGATTTATATGAAATCCTAAGAACATACATACACACACACACACACACAGAGTATGTGCTGAAAATATCAGGTCAATTGTTGATAGGTGTTGAAAGGGTCAGGAATTGACTGAGAAGGAACACAAGAGGATGCTGTAACATTATGGAAAGATTCTGTATATTTACAGTGCTATAGGATACATAAGTAAAGATTCTTCTGTATACTCCAAGCTCAAATTCAGAATCTTTATTTGTGCATTTAAACATATGTACATTTTACCTTAAACATAAAATTCAAACTTGGAGAAAGCAATTCAGTCTTTATGTTTGTTGAAATTAGGGGATGACAGTATTATGCTTCTATATTTAGTTTGCGTATGTTTCAGATGCTCCATAATAAAATGGTATGAAATATAAATCTAGTCAAAATATGTGTCATCTTTTGTATTTAGTAAACTAAAATCCTATCACTTACTTTCATAAAATGTTTATTATTGGAGATAGAATATTCTATTTGAATAGAACATTAATTTATTTCAAACAAATAATAAAGAAAGCCAAAAATCTCAACATTTGACTGCTATATTTCACTGCTACACTCAGAGAGCTTAAAATAAAATAGAGAACATGGTCTTGTTATTTTCTTATTTAAGATCATCAGCTTTTAAGTAAAATGCTAACCATGATGTATTTTTATGATAGTTTGTAGTGAGTTTATTGATCATTGAAATTATTTCAAATAATGATGAATTCAGTGAGGGGTACACAGACACACACCATGCTAGGATTGTATCCTAGGATGTACCATATTACTTCACCCAAGATTTTTCAAATTTATCATTTACTTTTAACTATCATAGTATATTTATGCCTTACTAAAATATTTCAAACATATTCTTCTGCACTTTCAACTGAATTTCATATTACTTTATTATTAAAATTTAAACCAATTTCTGGAAGCCAGAGGCCTAATTAATTGGGACTGTACCAGTTGAGATGGCCTTAACAATGTATGTTTTTCTCCAATTCAGGCATGCATACACCTATTTTTCTGCTTTATTTGCTTTATTTGACTGAACCTGTATGCTAGCAAAAGGTCCATTAAAGAAAATATATTTTGAGCACTGTGCTAAATACTTTATATAAATATTCTTATTGAAATTTTATACCAGCTATGAGTAGATGCAATTATCATACTAATTTTATAGGGAAACAAAGTTAAGGTTAAGAGAGTCTAATAGTGTAAGGTAATTCATAAACATAAATTGTACAGTTAAAATTAGAATATCTGCCTCACCATTACAAATTTCTTTTGGGCAGTAATGCTCTCACGAAGGTAGGTATGGAAGTAAGTAACAATTACAAGTTAAGAAAGAAAAGTGTTTTGTTCAAAATTGCACAGCTCTTTAAAGTCACTAGGTGGAGGACAATAAGAAAAATACATTTTCATAATTTATGTAATGTTCAACAGTCAGAATTTAAAAATATATGTTTGTGTGTATGCACTACAAGAATAAAATGGAAAGAGTAGACAGTATAGCTCATAAATCTCCTGGGCTAGAATTGCTGGAAATTTGGGGATGCACCCAAGGCCAGAAAAAAGGTGATATTGGATGATGTAGAAAAAACCTTGAGAATTCAAGTGAATCTTGGCAATTACAGCAATGAAAATGTGGGGAAAAGAAAGAGATCAGCCTGTTACTGTGTCTATATAGAAAGAAGTAGACATAAGAGACTCCATTTTGTTCTGTATTTGAGATGCTGTTAATCTGTGACCCTACCCCCAACCTTGTCCTTGCAAGAGACATGTGCTGTGGTAACTCAAGGTTTAATGGATTTTGGGTGTGCAGGGTGTGTCTTTGTTCCTAGAAAAGCTAGGTATTGTCCAAGGTTTATCCCCACGTGATAGGATGAAACAATGCCGCTAAAAGGTTTATCTCAAGGCACAGGATTTTCCTTTAAACTTATTCATGTCACAGAGATCCTTGTTCTTATGTCTTACTGCTGATTTCCTCCCTAAAAACGATCCTATTGTCCTGCCACTCCCTTATCTTTAAGATGGTAAAAATAATTATC